AATGGTGAATGCTAAAAAAATATTTTAATGGTGGAAAAATTTATAGCTTCTTGAGAAAATAAAGGAAGTTATGGGTCATCTCTTCCACCCCATCCACAACCTGATTTATGCTTATATTCCTCCAGCTACATACTGACGTTTGTCTAGCTTCTTTCTAAGTTGGTTAATAATGTTGGGCTGTCTCTAACTCTGCACTTGTGCTATCTCTACAACTGTTTAATTAACTGGTTGAGTAGAAGCCTCATATCCAAAGTCACCTGTTTGCAGTAATTGATTGCTTATATAAAAGTGCTTAAAGCAGTGAATCACAAAAACTTATACATGCACAGTCTATTTTAACTGAAAACATGTGCGTGTACATTTGTTTGCCAATCTTCTGTTGTGGGTATGGCCCCTGGCTGAAGTTCTGGTCTTTCTTGCAAAAACCCATCTAAACTGCTTCACCCACTGTTTCCAGTTTTGCTTTCTTCAAAGGAGCAAGAACTTGACATTCGTAAAGCAATCTGAATGCAAACACCTCTAAATTTTAGTGATTTTCTTTTTCTCTTTTACAATTGCTTCACTCATACCTCATGCAACAGTATTTAAAAATAGTACCCAGCCTTGGTTTTCAGAGAAAAGAGAACCCATTTTCTTTCTGTGCATATATTTCATGAGTTTGCCTAATTTTCAATTAAATTATGTCATTTCAATAACTTGTACAACTGATATGAACTGGTTTGGAAACAAACCAAATGACTCCTGGTGAAAATAGACTAAACTTTCAGCGGCAGGAGTGCACGGGTAGAGAAAATTCTGAGTGCCAATAAATCTAAGTTGGTTTTGTAGAGGCAGGTTAAAAACGCTTGTCCTGCATTATATGTTGAAGAAAATAAAAGTTGTGTGCCATGTTTTAAAGTATGTTGGAACTAGTTTATTTTACTTGTAAAATAAATTCCTGTAAGGAAGAATGCATTTACTTAACTTTAAGAGAATCTGCACAGCATTGTTATACAGGATAAATAATAAGGGCTAGACCAGAGAGTTATTACCAGAGGGTTATCTCTGTGAGGCTTTGTGGGATCAACTTCCCATGACAAATATAGTTTTCACCTTTATCTGAACTACTTTTTCTGTATTTAACAAGCCAAATTTACGGTAACAAACATTTACAGTTTCAAGGTTACATGCCTACAGTCTTTGGAAATTATGAAAACAAACTTTCAATATTTTAGAAAAGCTCTGTGCTCTTCTTAAACAGATTTGGATAAAATCTAACTTTATAATTTCAAGGTACAGAATAGGTACAGATTTAGCTTAAAGCTTATATCTGTTATGTAAATATTTAATTTTTTTATCTATCAAAATAATGCTTTTTTTTGCAGCTGGCTGGTATGGGGATTGGAACCCTTGAAATAAATGCTAATTTTTAATGAAGTATTTTACATTATCAAAAATGTTTTCGTAGAGTTTCTCTCAGGATACCTGCTAAACTACTTTTCATCTCTGGTTTTTATTTTAATTTGAGCAAAGCTGAATCAAAAACATTTAGGGTTTATAATAATTTACTTCCACCTAGAGAAAGAGTATTTATATTTAACTAAATTAAGGTATTACTGTAAAGCCCCATTAGTGAATTTTCCTGCTTTCTTTCAAAGTAATAAAAAAATTGTCCTCAACACCAAGAATAATATCATGTTCGTTCCTCCCTGGCATTTAACTCAATATAAAAATGTCACTTAAAATCATTTCTGTGGAGGACTGTAAAAGAAGTAAAACACATGGTGTCTTCACAAGGCTTGTAGTCTGGTTAGAGAAATGAGATTGACACAGTTAAAACAGATTATACCAAACATTTAAGTATAAAATGAGCAGTAAAACAATAATTGCTAAAGTACCTGCTTTTCATAGTCTACTTTGCACATAGTAGAGGCTTGAGGGGTTAGGAAATTTGAGGGAAGTTTGTGGGACTAAAACTGGACTCTGAAGAATAAGTAGAATTTGAACTGACTAGTGAATGAGGGAGAGAATTCTGGGCAGGAGGAAAAATTCCTGGCACAGTATATTAAGGGCAGGATGCACCTAGAAAATAGACCACAGAGTAGGATTTGTTTTGTAACCAGAATTTCCTTATGGCATTATCTGAGCACTTCCTAACTTCTCTGAGTCTTATCTTGACACTACATTGTCTTTGGTTATATTTCTTTTCTTTCCCTATCCAAGAATCACCATAAGACCAATGGTCTGTTCTAGCCTACCATTCAGTCTCTGATGGTGTGGCACTGGGAAGGTTCTGTGGAGATGCATTCGTAGTAATGACAGCCGTTTTTTACTGAGTGCCTTTTAGGTGTGTGTATCAGTGAGGGTGGGCTAAGTTATGCTGCAGTAACAAATATCCATATGGATGTTTGGATTTCCAATTTTAGTGGATTAAAATAGCAAACTTATTTCTTTCTCATGCTACATGTCCAGTGTGGATTGGTGGGGGCAAGAGGCCAGGTCTCAGCTTGTTGCTGTCATTCAGGGACTCAGGCTGAGTCCTGCCTCTATTTACATATACAATTGCCACTCACCAGAGAGGCCCAAATCCTTTCCCCTGACACATTCTAATCCTTCTTAACTCACTGAGGATTTATTATCCATGATATTTTTAGAGCTACTGGTGAACTTTTCAGTGTGTTCCACATCTTATGGATAAAGAATCTTATAAATTTGGTATCAATTGCATTGATGAGCTAGTTGGTGCAAAGTGGCCATTGTGGTTTTCACCAGGAATCCCTTCTGAAGTTGCTATTGGGCATGTCGTGTCTATAGTATCAGGAAAACTAGGTATGGGGAAGATAAAACCCTGAGACTTGGGATGTAGGCAGCATGGTATGGCAGAGCAAGTATGGAGCTGGCAGTCTGGAGGCCTGGACCGACCTCAGCCCTGCCACCTCCTTGCCTGTGTGGCTTTGGTACGTCATCTCACTTCTTGGAACTTCATTGTCTTTGATTATAATAGGAAGGGGTTGGTCTGGATTATCCTCAAGTTCTCTTACAATGCAGTGATTCTCTACAAGTAAAATTTAAAGCTAGAAATAGTTTGCATCTTCTAGATTCTATAACCTGGTTTTGTTTTTGTTTTTTAAGTTATTCCTTATGGAAGGAAGGAAGATTGTTTTTCTTTAATGCAAAGAGCATTAGTCCTTTCTCATGCAATTAAGAAATATGTTGAAAATGTCATCAGCTTAGATCTGCTATGTTTATGTGTACAGTTTGCTCCTTTTACTCTTGTTATTTCCAGTCTGGAATGAGGATAGGGACTGGGCCAAGGTCATTTCTAACCTTGGAGATTCTCACTCCCCTTCACCAAAGAGCACTGAATCCTGAGAGCTATAGAGTGGCAAACCCCGTAAAAATCGACCTTTGAAAATCTCTGCTTTCTTCAGCAATTTTTCATGGTTCTGAAAAGAGCCACTTAGTGATAGACTGTAGAGTTTTCCTTCCATTTAGGTTTGAGGCTTAAGTGCTTTTGGTTCCAGAGGAGTCCAGCCGGCTCTGCCTGCCATGTTTTACACTGCTGGCAGCTGCCACAGATTAAAAAGGAACATTTACTGTGCTTCTAACTTGTCAGGCACTATAACTTACAGTGCATTCAGACAGAAAAATGTTCTATAAATATAGAATCATGCAAGGAATGTTCCAGAACCAGAGTCTTATCTCTAATTGTCAGGTAGGATTTACTGAGGCTACCAAATACTGTATCACTATTTCAGGGCCAGAGAGTGGCAATATGGACAATATGAAAATGACAACAGTTAGTTAATAATGAACAAATGCATGCTGAAAGCTGAGAAATGCATGCATATGTACAGACAGACACAGTTATGTGCAACCAGTGACACATTCAGTGGGATGTGACAGCCATATCAGGAAACTAGTGATACTCTTGACCCCTGTGGTAAATGGAGTGTGGCTTGGCTGGGTCCTGGACCCCACTTTGGCCTTTCCCTGGCCCCTACCCTGAGCTGTCCTACTCAGGACAGAGCAGCTTACGTCTTGCTTGCTTCTAACCTTACTCAGAGGAGCTCATTCAGGCATCATCTGGTCTCTGCAGTTGATTCCCAAGGAAGGCTTTGCTTCCCATCAGTGTGCAGTGTCACTTGTGGCTGCTGTCCCACTTGTCAGCCCATGGGGTGGCCGTAGGATGTTGCTGCTGGGCTTCATATGCTCTGTGTGGCCACTGGGGTGCATTCTTTCTGCCAGGATCCCTGTTCCCTGGCACTTGGTGCCTCTAGGTGAGGCATTTTAATTTTTTTTGGTGATAAAAGTCACCTCTTGCTTTGAGTCTAGCCTGAGATACTCCCAGTTTGGAGGAGGTTTGAGGACTGACATGGGCTGAGAGCCACCAAAGAGGCCCCGAGGACTGCTATGGACAACCCTGGGTCCCAGGTGAAATTGTGGGGAGGATGGAGATTGCTGTGCAGGTCTGGAGGGGAAACCCTTCTATCCTCTCTTCCTCTCTGTTCCCTTCTCCATTCCTCTCCCTCCCTCCTCGTGGCTTTTCTGTTCTCCACACCCTCTGCCAACTCCAGTTCTCCTTTGGCTTTGGCAGCTATTCAGGATTCCAGGCCTTGTGGAAATGGGTTATGGGGCACTGCAGACCTTCCATCCTGAGACGTGGATGTTTCAGGAACTGGTAGATGTTTGGGGGATGTTCTGGCTGAAGTAAGTTCATTATCTCGGCAGGTTGATGTTGAGTCAGATGATGTTAAGCTTCGAGGATTCTGGGTCCCGGAAAGTCTAGGTACCTTATATATTTTGAATAGTGTGTGCATGGATGTGGAGGAATGTGTGTGTGTGTGTGTGTGTGTGTGTGTGTCAGAGAGAGAGAGAGAAAGAGAATCCTTAAAAATGTGGTTAATGCTTTTCTAAATTTTTATTTGCTTTCCTAGGCAAACATTCTTCTATAGACTTACTTTCGTAGGACAAGTGAAGCTCCTCCTCCTTTCCTGATTGACGTGCTACCTCAGTGAAATCCATGGTCTGACCTTTGAGTCCCTGCTATGTATGCAGACACTGTATAGTTCCTACATCATGAGAACAAATGAAAACATCTGGCTTTCACTGGATGTACTCCAGGTATTGGCTTCTCTTTTTAGTGCCTGTGATAAAAACCTGAATTACATTATGCTTTATTCTCTTCGCCATCCCCTAATGGCTAAGACCTCACCCAGTTTTGAACCATTTTGACATACTTAGAAAATGTGGTGAATTTGAAGATGTCAGTTTAAGAGCAAAACCCAATTCAAATTTGTTTGGCCTCTCTCTCCAACTTACCAGGATAACTTAGAGAATAAATCTAGAGCTGAGTGTTTATTCCTTCGTGTGCTTTTTTTTTTTTTTAACATTCCTTCCTAAAAGTTATCAGAGCCTGCTTGAATTATAGTGCATTTTTTCCTGTCAGAGTTGACTTGATTTCTGGCTCCCTCGCCTCCCAGCCTACGCACTGTGTAATGGTGCAGAGGCGGCAGATTGATGGGGGAAGGATTCAAAATGCTGCTGTGGATTTGGATTTGAGCATGCGTGCTGTCTGCTGCCAGTGACATTTAGCAGATGGACTTGGAGAATGGGATTTGGCCTTGACAGGGAGTGGCCTCCAGGGAAGAGGCCCCACGGGATGGGCTGGCTCTGCCCTTTCCCACCTGGCCATTTGATTCCTGCCCTCTGTCGGGCCTGTCACAAGATTAATAGACTCTGCTTCTTTTGTTGTTGCGTTTAGTTTTCAGCAGTTTGATTATGATGTGCATGGGCATGGAATTCTTTGAGTTTTTCTCCCAGGGGTTTGCTGAGCTTCTTGAGTCTTTAGGTTTACGTCTTTTGTCAGTTTGGGGATTTTTCAGCTGTTATTTCTTTAAATGTTTTTTCTGCACTGCAGCCTTTTCCCTCCTCCTCCTCTCGGATATCAGCGTATCAATGACATGGATGTTAGACCTCTTGGTATCGTTCCTCAGGTCGCTGAGGCTCTTTGCAGTTTTTTTCCCAGATCATTTTTCTCTCTGTTGTTCAGATTGGATACTTTCTATTGATTTATCTTCAAGTTTACTGACTCTTTCTTGTGCATATTCATTTTGCTATTGAGTCCATTCACTGAGATTTTTATTTCAGTTACTATATATTTTTTTGTTCTAAAATTTCCATTTGACTTTTTATACCTCCTATTTCTTTGCTGAGGCTTTCTATCTTTCCACTGGTTTCAAGAGTGTACATCTTTACTTCATGAAATATTTTTATAATAGTTGCTTTTAAGTCTTTATCAAAAAATTCCGACATCTGTGTCACACAGCATTGGCATCTGATTGTCTTTTCCTCACATGAGTTGGAATTTTCCTGATTCTTCATGTGCTTAGTAGTTTTGGATTGTGTCCTGGACATTTTGAATGTTATGTTATGAGACTCTTCATTTTATTTAAATACTATAGATCATGTTGATATATTTGTTGGGTTCTGGCCTCAAGTTCTGCCCAGGCTTCTGTGGATTGTGACTTCAGTGACAGTTCTGTTTTCAAAGCCTTTGCACTATGTTTAAGATCTGTCCCATGTGCATGCCTCCCGGTGGCCAGTCTGGGACCTGGGCAGAGGTCTGTCTGTCAGCTCAGTTCTCCAAGTCTTTGATATACTGACCAGGATCAGAGATCCATGTATGAGCAGTTCTAGGGTGAGCCCAGGACTTCACAAACTGCCCTATGGGGGTTTCCTAAGCTATTCTTTCTCCCCGATTGCCCCAATATTATCTAGTTCCCTGCAGTTTCCAAATCTCTGGCCAGAAGTCTGGACTTTAGTTGACCCTGCTCTGCCCATGCTTTGCTGCACACTTCCTGTGACTGTGCCTGAGTCCAAGACCACGATGTGGGGGGAGAGAGACAGGAAACAGGCAATGGGGGTTCACCGCACCCTCTTGGGGCCAACAGCCTCAGACTGGAAAGGAAGCTGCTTCTTCCTCAGAGGTTTTGGTGCCTTAGGTCCCCTCTGTGGCTTCTGCCACCTCAGTGGGATTGTCTGAGGGTTGGGATGCAAGAAAGGGGAAAAGGAAAAAAAGTGGGGGAGCTCTCTGAGCACTGGAGAGACCTTCCTTCTTTGAGCCTGAACTAGAGGGCTGCTCCTGGAGCTTTCTGTCTGAGGCAGTGCCTGCTGCCCACATCAGCAGCCTTGAGTGGGGGCAGGAGGGACACCAGAAGAAAAAATAGTGGTGAGCTCACTGCTCGGTCCATGGTACTTTGAATTCTGGTCTTCTTCCCCAATCTGCCTGCTACTGTTTACTTTTCAGATTCCTCAAATAACTGCCCTGTGCATTCCACTCAGGTTTTATTGCTGCATTTATCAGGAGACAGGAGGTGGGAGTGTACTTCCCACCTGACCCAGAACAGAAACCGAGAGCCTTTTTTTTAAATGAAATTTTTGCATAGGATACCTGAGTTTTAAACATCACTACGAAATGTATAACTGACCTCTGCTCTTTTTGGAGCAGGACTGAGTCTGAGAAACAGGATAATTACATAAGAACACTGGGGAAAGGCGTGTGAGCTGCACACCCCCTTTCCCCCACCTCAGCTCTCAGAACCCCTGGCCACACTCAGCTAAGGCCTAAAAGCCCCATCATCTAAGGGCATTACGGAATGGCTCATGCTCACAGACTCTCAGCTGTGGCTGGATTCCTGTTCTGTCCTGATATCATTTTGTGCCTCCCCCTCCCCCAACAACTCCCATGACCTCCCCTTCTCCTTCTCACAAGGAATAAACAATTTCTTTTGGTCATTGTTTCCTGCCCACTAACAGATGCTCTTAATTAGCACAAAATTGCAGCAAAATTGCTAAATAAATCTATTTTACTTGTTTTGGGTTTGTTTTTCCCAGAAAGCTTAGGCTTCCCCAACATTATCAACACACGCTCAGCAAATTGTTTAGTTTGGGTCAAGGACTCACAACCTTGTTCTTTTCCATGGGCACAATCATGATGCACAGAATCCACTGTTAGCCATCTCTCCTGGCAGAAAGTTGCTGGTTCTAAACCTTTCAGGAGCTTAGTAGCAGTGGGAATGTACTTTTGGGAGTATTGAAACTTTATTTCAAAAATCCCAAACCCTCTATCAATTAACCATCACAACAAAGAAACTGCTCATTTAAATCACTCATCATCCCTAAAATAACTGTAGTATTGAAACAGAGGAACGGGCCATTAGAAGCTTTCTGTTGGCTTATTTTATATTTAGTTTTTATACCAAAAAAAGTGTAAGTAAAGAATGCTTGTACGAAAATTTCTTGTAAAGCCAATGGTGGCACTGTTCTTAGTTTGACAATTTCTTCGTGGGCTGCATGAGGTCATTGATGGGTATGAGGAAACTGCCTGTGAAGGGGGAAGCTGTATTTCCAAATTTCTAGACAAAGAAAGCTTTTGCACAAGGCGGAATCGATGGCTCTCTTTTCTAGGCCATGGGTGGGCCTAGCTCTGCTTTTTTCTTTAATTTTTTTTTTTTTAATGTTACCAGTTTTGCTTGGGGCTTAGGGTCTTGAATTACATTTACATTATGTATATAATTGTAGGCTGGTACGCAAAGGAGTATTTTAAAAGATTGCTTTATTTTTGTATTACCTTTTAGTAGGAAGGCCTTGGAATTCAGCTTCATGGCTTGAGAGAATCATTTTCTTTTTTCAAGAAACAAAATTTAATGCTGAAATCACAAGTGATAAAAATATCTGAAGCCTCATTACAGTCTTTTTGTGTTAGATCTATTATCTCTGTGCACCGAATGACTCAGTGATCACTTTTTACCCTTTGGGAAGTAGAATCTCAGATGTCTGCAAAATAGCCACAAAACAACATGAGTTAGTTGTATATAAAATCTTCTGCTGTCCTTAATCTTAAGTTTTGGAATTTTTTTCTATGTAATGGAGACATTTACCTCTCACTAGAAGAAGCGTTTCCTGGAGAAGTTGCCAAATATGACCTTCGCAAAACGAAAAGGAGCTGCTTCCTTTCCTTGGAAATCCAGGACCCGGCCTGCCCTGAGAAACGCTTGTGTGAGGTGGGAGAGGCTCCTGTGAATGCCCTGGTGGTTTAGGAATCAGGACTGCTGAGGATTTCAGAGGAGCCGAGGGGTCCCCATCCCTGCAGGGGTTCAGGTGCCTACTGCTTCTCTGTAGCAACTCATTGTCAGGCTGTCTTTGACATTTCAGCTCAGGCCAGCTGGGGACAGACAGACCAATACAAAATGATGGCACATCCAACTGCCTTCTGCTTAAGCTGCTGCTTTACCTGTCTAAAGAGGAAGTACAGGTAGCAGACAGTACTGGGAATCGATGTTCCCACCTCCTGGGAGCAATGGGGGGCAGCATTGTTATGGCCACTTGATATTGGAAGCACATGGATAACAGGCATTTAGTGTACCCTGGCATTTAGGAAATCGTTTGGAGCAAAGTCATAATAACAAAAAAAATTTTTTAAAGAAAAAAATAGGTTTTGTCCTTTTTCTATTAAACAGACAGACCAATACAAAATGATGGCACATCCAACAGCCTTATGTTTTAAGGTTCTCAGTGAATTCTGTTTGTGGAAATTTAGCAAGGATAAACGTTGATGTGTGCACTAGAGAATTAAGACAAATGATAATTGAAAGAGATGATAAAAGCTAGTGGTTTCCATGGGGAAATAATCACGAACTGCTGTCAGACTGATTCCAATAAGAACATTGCTTTATGTGAAATGTTTTTTAAACAGCTCAAACCAAAGCATTAAGCCAGAGCACTTCTGAGGGCATCTATTTGCTGTATGTTTCTCTTATATCCCCATCTGAGACTCCTCAACTGGTATTCACTGTTCCAGATGCTGTGTTTAGCTTCTCTGTGGTCAACACTCAGTTGGAAATGAGACATATCAGATTGCAAGAAGGATGCTATATGTGGATTCTTAAGATAATTCTATAGTTTCACCATATTGATTCACCATATGAATTCGCAATTACTGATCTGTGAAGTTACTTTTATGTATTAGCCCAGTCTAAATGCTACTACCATGTTTAAGGTGTCTCTTTAATTATACTAGAAAGAACTGTGATGTGCTTTTGGGCTTCCAGCAGTAGAGGCTGCCCCCCACAATCTTCATTTATATTTTCTGGCATTTATTTTGGAGTAATATGCACGTGTTCCATCTCTTTGTGCCCCTATTGTACCCTATGGAGATTTCTTTTGGAGCCCCTACAACACCTCATTGCATTTATTGGTTTACACAGCCGTGTCCTGTATTAAATTGTAACACAGAGCTTGGCATGAGGCACTATGCCCACTGAATGAATGAGTGACTCCTTGGTCAAGTCCCACTGCCTCTTTCCAAAGAATGCTGTGCCCCTCCAGGTCCTATCTCCACCCTGCTGCATTTGCTCTGCATCCTGGGAGGCTGACCTGCATGGACCAAGCACAGCCTCCTCCTTCTCTGTCTTCCCTTTGGGTTTGACCAACAGGAGGCAGGAGATTGGGGGTTGGGGGATAGTTAGGGTTGAGTGTGTTATAGGGTCGGCTGTGTTGCTTTATTAAAAGCCCTCTCCATACAGTTTCACTAGGGCTTGTAAGGGCTCTCCAGTATTACCTGCCACAGGTATTGTATTATGTCTTATTGGCATCCTTAAACCCCACACCTTTGTTAAATTCTCTCAAATCAGCCAGTTTGAAGGAGCCCACTTATCTTGCTGGGACCCTGGCTGATATTTGCCCAAGTCACCCAGGTGACAAAGTTGGTTATAATCTAGATATTGTGGTCTGTTTCCCTTGCATTATTTCAAGTGAACTTTCTATCCTAGGCCAGTCTATCTCCAAATTAGAATCAAGTGGAGCAGGGGTCAGCAAACTTCAGCTTGCAGGCCCGTTCCAGCCTGAAGCCTGTTTTTGTAAGTGGAGCGTTATTGGAACACAGCCATGACCATTGTTTACTTACTGTTTATGGCTGCTCTTGTGCAAGAACAGGAGGTGAAATGTTGCAACAGAAACCCTATGGCCTGCAAAGTCTAAAACGTTTGCTATCTGACCCATTATAGAAAAGTTTGCTGGCCCCTGACTTAGTGGAAAATCACCACCTGTGAACTTCATCATTTTCATCAATAGGCTCCTGGCCAGCCACAGGGGGCACTTGTGAGTGCTCCTGTGACAACTAAGTTGGGGGTGTGACACTCTGAGCCTAGACGAGCTCTCATGGAGCATCATGTTGCTGTGCTGACTGTTGTAGCAACCTGGGAAGGTTCTCTTTGTTGATCCGAATCAAAAAGAATGTGACCGAGCAAAATTAGGAGGCATTTGTATTTAAATGTGTTTGTAATTTATGACTTCAGAATTACATATTTTACTGAAAAGAATGAGTCTCCTGAAAGGTTTAGCGTTTCCCTAAATCAGACTTATTTTGTACATACCTGTCTCCTCCACCCGACTGCGAAGGCCTCTTGGTAGAGTCTGGCTTTTATTCGTGTCTGTATTTACCAGTGCCTGGCATGGAGTGGCTGCTGCTTGGTAAATATTGTTTGACCAAATGGTAATCAACATCTAATTTGGAGAAGGAAAAATAAGGGGTGGAAGGTGTTAACTGGGAAGACGTAGTAGTTAATGTTCTCCGACTCTCTGTCTAGAGCCTCTGCCTGCTCAACCTTCACAGAACAAGAACAGCTGTAAGAAAAGCCTCTTCTTCCAGTAAGGTGCCCCTCAGGGAAGACTGGCTACATAATTTGCAGGGCCCAGTGTAGGATAAAATGTGGGGGCCTCCTGTTCAATCTAGAGGGACTGCATGGTGCTCAGCCACTCCAGAGATGGCACAGGTTGTCAGGATGCTAAGACTGTGGGCTCTAGGCAGTCTGCAGTGATATGCGTCTAGTAAAGCCTAAACTGGAATGACACTTCATCACTTCCAGAGCATTTGCGTTGACCTCAGGCACTCACATCAGAGTGGACTCCTCTTCCCCAAGCCCAGACACCTGGCATTACATGGACTAACCTGCTTGCCCCTCCCCGCTTCTTGTTTTCAGTTTCACCCCAAGTCACCGAGGCCACCTTTGGAGTGACAGTTCCTGCTACAATACCTGATTGGAGAACAATGTATATACATGAATAGTCCCTTGTCATGTCCCCAGAACCCTTTCTGCCCCCTTCCTCACCATAAAAGGGTGTATGGGGCCTATCCTAACCACTCTGCAGGAACCCTTGTGCCATGACACCCAGTGTCTTTGCTGATGCTAGACATTCACCCTGCCAGCTGTTGGAGCTTCTCTCTGCTCCACCCTCAGTCTTCCCCACCCACACGCTGAGCCCTTCTCTCTTCTTGGAATCTCATTGAACCTCCTGGAGCTTTCCAGGTGGTGACAGCTATAGGTGAGGAGCTCTGACCTCTAGCAAGGAGTTCCTGACTAGTGCTTCCTTTTGACTAGAGAGGTTCCCATTTTTGCTTCTTCTAGAACATTGCCTTCCCTCAACCCTTTATCCACCCATCCTTGCTGCCAAAGGGGCTTAGGGGGCCATCCCTAACCACTCTGCTCATGGGAGCTCCTCACGCCCTCTGCTGAAGAGTGGGGCTGCCTCACAGTGCTGGAAAGTCACCCTCCCTAGCCCTGATGGTGACAGCTCTGGGTCCTTGCCCCACCCATGCGTGATCCCAGTCCCCAGGTGGCACAGCCCCCTACTCCCTGTGCCGAGATGACCAAGTGCCTGGAGTATTTCTTCCCCACCAAGATGCTGTGCCCTTAGGGAGGCACGTATTCCTGAAGCTCTAAGCTTTGGAGACCATAGTCAGTTGTTCTTCCTAATGGGGAGTGGCACCATGTAATAGGAAGCCACAGTTAAGGGACAGCCTGCTGGGGTCAAGTGGAGTTTGCCTTTGATCAGAAGCTCTCAGTCAGACTCCCCAGGGCTTTTGCAATTTCGAGCTTCACCTGGGAGCTGGGCTGTCTCGGCCTCATTAGTCTCCCTGCAACTGACATGGCTTCAATGACAGCAGCTCCAAACGAGCCGCCTGCTGCCTGTGTGCACGTGTGTTTGTTTTGCTGACAGCTGAAGCAGCCTTGTCCCCAGCTGATACTCCATGTCCTTCCCATCCCCGCCAAGCTCCTTACTCCTTACACACCGCCTATGTTTTCTGTCTCTCACAGGGTCCGCGGTGGCATATAGATCTCCAACCTTGGGCAGGCCCTGCTCAGTCCCTGGATGAAGAAGCCTTGAGGTTCCTGAGATATATCAGCACCACCCAGGTTGTGTTTCAGACTCGAATGGGTTTGGAAATAATGTAAAAGATACTGATTGGCCTTTTGAAAGAAGGATTTGTCAGTGAGGGGGTGGGGAGGGTCTCAGCGACTCTTGATAGGGACCTGATAGAGACATGGTATCTGAAGTGTTGCTGCTTAAATTTATCCACCCACTCGGAGGTAAATAACATGCCTTCCGTTTGCTCGGGCATCTTCTTCCTTCTAGGAGTATCATCAACCTGGAATGTTTTAATGATTCATCCCAAAGTGTTTTAAAGATCTACTTTAGCAAATTGCTTTGGAAAGCCATTTGAAGCGACAGATTCATCCCGTGAGTAGGCAGTCAAGTGTGTCACTAAGCAAAACCATCATCTGGAGCTTTAAGCTCCATTTTGTATTTTGGAGGAATTTTCCTTTTCTCTCTCCTGCCACAGATGGCAGCCAGGGACGTGCTAGGCAAGACAGCAGAGGAGACTTTGCGGGCAATGAGGAGTTAATGAATCCTAAGGCTCTCTATCCTTAGAGCACTTTAAATCATTACCGAGCACCGGCCTTTATTAGTGACTTAACACATCGTGGCAGCTCCTGCCCAGCTCCAGGCTGAGTCAGTGCCCCGATCAGGCAAAGAGAACATCCATTAAGAGAGTCTATGGCTCTTGACACATTAATCAGGAGGTTCCATTCTCAAGTTGTCTGATCCTGGGGGAAAGACAGACCTAAGAGGAAATCAAGGCCCAAGGGAAACAGCCCTGAACTGAGAGGTGTGAGTAAATTAGGAACTCAGGCTGCCTGGGAGCTGAGCACAGGCTGGTGCAGGAAGCTGCTTGGGATCCCAGATGCTTGTCTCCCTTCAGCCCACTGCCTCTTGGTACCCACTTCTCCTCCTGAACCCTACTGGCAGCAAAGCCTGTTTTTCATCTGTGGGAGAGAATATATTTCTAGATCTTTAGAAGGCTAGTTTAGGGGTAAAAGTCCCATTTCTCATATGGTGCAGACAATCATAGGGAGTTTAATATTTGTCAGACATGGAAGTAAAAGCTTGTTGAATTAATATGAATGATGGGATGATAAATTGGTCTCTGTGCTTTACATAATTTTATCTTATTTTGCTGCTACAAATTAATTTGGTGGACTTAAGCAGACTTCATTAAAATACTGAAATTTTAATTTTACAGTTTGATTTTACATTAAGGATGAGAAGCTGGACCTTTTAACTGTGACTTTAAAAGCCCACATAGGCCCCAGAGAAAAATGAGAGGTGTTACATTTCTGGATTGAATCTGAGAACCATGGGCTTCACTTCCTAAAATAAATTTACCAAGTGCAGGCCTCCAAATTCCATTTTATATGTATTTCTTGTTAATGCTCTGTAACTTATAAAAGGCATATTTACCTAGAAGAAGCCCTTGAGGCATGAGATGGTCATTTGAGACCCCTCTTAGATCTTTCCCATGAGCTATGGGCTGAGAGAACAATTCTTAAAAAAAAAAAACAAACAAAAAACCCCCGCATCCCATGATGTGATGCAGTCTGATGTTGTAACCCCGGGCACTTCTCTGGCTCTCCTTCTTCCGATCTTAAAAAAGAAGAGATTGTGTCATATTATTTTTAAGATTCCTCCCAGTTCTGTGAGCTTGTACTGTGCAGAGAATGGTACAGAATTGTTATTGACCAAGTATTTTTGAGTGCCTACAATGTGCCAGGCCCTGGGGATACAGTCTCTGCCCTCAAGGATCTAACAAACTAGTTGTGAAGGCAGATGAGTGGATGTGTAATTATTATTCCATTTGATGAGTGCAATAATAGAGATTTGGTTGCTAGGAGGATTTTTGTCCTCCAGAAAGAATAGATGAAGTTCTAGATCTCGCAGTGATTTTTATAATCAGGGACCTCTTTATCCAGGTAAAGCACTGTGCTTTGATGTGCTTCCAGGTTACTGGGAGGCCAGCAGGTGGGAGCCATCAGAATTGACACTAAGTGGTTCTTAATCAGAATCTTCTACTAACCAATGCTCCTTCCCCCTCTCTATGTAATGCAGAACTTTTTGGCTGCTTCTGTGGCTTATGCCTCATTTAGAACTCATCTTGACAATGAAAGACTGCAAAACTGGCAGAATATTTAGAGTCACTGTTACCTAAAATTTTCACAGTTAGCAGTAGTGAGTCATAATAGGCAAGAAAAAAAAAAAAAAAAAACACCTCTGAAGGTACTAAAGCGAATTCCACCCCCATCCTCTTATGCTGCTTTTTAAAATAAAAAAATTCCTTCAAGTCTGTGTTCAAGCTTGTACAGCAAAGTCCAGCATTGATATGTTTATCATTGATTTATTCATTCCACAGTTCAGCAGGTATTTGTTGAGTGCCTGCTCTGTGGCTGGCCCTGTGATATCAAACAGTATAAACCCCCACCACATGCTGGTAAACAGCTAGGGTGCAAGAGAGTTATGTGTTCTGTAGCAGGGGAAGTCTCTCCAGACCAGAGAAGCTCGGGACCTGAGGCACAGGGCATGGCACAGAAGGGCATTAGATAGCAGTGGGCATGGCACCTGGACTCGTGACTGTGGTGACGCTGGAGGCATGGCTGGGGCCATGTATTTTTTCATGAAACACCAGAGATATGGTATTTGGGTAGGGTATGCAGAACATCAAGCTCAGCTTAATTAGGTACTATTGTTCTTTTCTAATGTGAAAGACCACAGAGTTCTGCAGTTGATAATAAGAAAAGGTTAAATCATAATCACAGCACTCTCTTCTAAGGGAAGGTTCCAGATCCAGCTTTTTATGGCAACCCCCAAACCATATGCCTCTAGGAAGCATGCCTTACAGTACAATTTTAATCTAAGCAACAGTGCTGTTTTAAAAAAGAAAAAATAAAATGTTTTAAAGTCTATCTCGTCTATCTATCTATTTATCTCTCTGTCTGTCTGTCTATCTAATTATCTACCCATCTATTTATTTGTAAGCATAACCTAAGAACCTAGGCTTTGGAGATTCAGACTGTGACTTTACAACTTTACAACAAAAGTATTTATTATACTTACTGCTATGCACGCACGCAGGCCCACCCCCACACCCCCACACATATCCTGGAATAAAAACAACAAAAATACAATTCTGCCCTTGAGCCTTTCAAAATAATGGTATTATATAAACATATAGTTGATCGTTGAAATGATTCTTACCAACACCCCCCCAAATTTAAGAGCTCCCTTTGCCAGATTGTACTTATGGCTTGGCATAAATGCTATTCAAGCTTTTGGAATACAAAATGAAACGAAAATAAATTAGATCTCTTAAGTTAGACAACTAAAAAACATTTCAGAAGACACTTTTTCCTAGAGTCTATCTTCCTTTGTCCGGGCCTAATTTGCTTTATATGGCTAAAATTACAAGGGGAATTAGGACAGAGACCATAATTACTTGAGTTAGAGCTTAGCTAAAAGTTATTGCCCTCACTTTTTTTGCTTGCAAGAGAGTTTATTGAAGCCCTGGCCATAAATTTTAACTAGAAAGTTGGAAAAATCAATATTTAATTAATTTTTAGGAGGAGAATTTTATGGAGGACTTCTAGTTATTTTCAAAAGCTAATGTCTATCAATGAGATGGTTAATAAACAGTTAATATTGAATAAATCCTGTGATTTATTTATTTATTTATTTTCCTTTTTGCCTTTTTTACTGACTGGTAACGGGATTGCAACCCTCAGTGTTGCGCCCGTACCGGGGACCGGCAACGGGATCGCAACCCTCAGTGTTGCGCCCGCACCATGCTCAGCCAGTGAGCGGGAACCGGTCTCCACATGGGATCCGAACCCTCGGCGGGAGCGCCGCCGCACTCCCAAGCGGTGCACTGTAGCAGTGCGCTACCGGGCCGGCCCTCCTGTGATTTATTTTTGATCTAAGAGAGGAAGGGGTAATGTTATCAGAAAGAATGAATGGAAAAGAATCTCTCTTCAATAGGGATGTACCTGTGCAAGATGAAATCTGTAGAATAAGAAGAAATGCTTTAAGTAGACGAACTGTCATCTTTAACAGAATAAAATCGTGGCAAAGGAGGAGCAGCTGGACCTCAAAGCCCTGACTGTTGGCCCTTAATGCTCACCTGACTTTTGGAGGCCTCTGGCTAATTGTTGGTGGCAGCCCATCTGGCTCTTCTTTAGGGGCGGGGTCACAGGGACTGCTGTTTTCAGTTTAAAGTTCTGGCTCAAGTATAGCCTCTTCTCTTAATTTGCTAAGACACAGGTGACATCAGGCTGGCACATTTTGCTGGGGCTTCACAAAAGGCCTCCAGTAAACTCACAGGACCACCTGCATAAGAATCACCTGCGGGAGCTTATTAAAACGCATGTTCCCAGGTATAAGCCACAGAGAGTCTGATTTTGCAGATCTGGGGTGGAACCCAGGAATCTGCATTTTAAGTACCTCCCAGGCGATTCTGAGATAAGTGGACCACACCCTGAGAAATACTGTGGAAGAGGCTAGAGTTAGGTTTTGATGGCGTTAGGAGGGAATTCTGAATAGGGGCCTGTGAACATCTGTATCCTGACCTGTCATTATGGAGGTTCTTAGGGAGAAGAGCACATAAAGAACAGTGGCAAATGAGAATCATCATACCACTTTAATAAAGCACTCCAGGATGCTGCCCTGGAGCACATGGCTCAGGTTTGTACCGTCCAAGATCCAGCCATCTTTTGGGGGCCCACAGAATTGCCCTGGACTAACTAACTTCCTGCTGGAGGCAGGTCACAGAATAGAGTTCTACTCTGGTGTTTAAGGCCTAATAAACACAGTGAGCTCTGACTAATTAGATTAGCACCTTCTCTCCATTGTGGGTGGGTGGGGAGTAGGAGGTGGGCAGGTAGAGGCATAATTTCCATTTATCTGTGGGAGAATCGTAGGAGATAAATTATACAAATTAACATGTTGATGCACCCAGTTAGTAAATATATCCTGTAGTAGTTGCTTGAGAAAAGATTCAATTCCATTTTCTATTATTATTTTTTCCTTCAAACAGTAGTTGGGGTTAGAGAAGTAGAAAGCTACTGGGTTGAAGGAAAAGAATATACTCGTATAGCTTTTTCACTTTTTCAGCTTTCCTCTGAGAGTTCCAAATCCTAGCAGAAGACCAAGTCTCTGATAAATAGCACAAGGATGATTAGCAGTAGGATGCTTTTGCCAGGTCAGCCTTAGGTTCTAGCAAGAGCAATGCAGATGCTGAATAGGCTTCTGTGGAGCCACAGCTAAGGCTGACGTCGGAAATCCTGCTCACAGCGCCAATTGTCTAGCTCTTAATCCTGTTCATGACACCAATTGCAAAGCTACTCGACCACGACTATGCCAGTTGTGGTGCTCCGGCTAGGCGACCACGCCAGTTGTCAGGCTCTTTTTCCTGCTGGTAATCCTGCCTACTGGGCCAATTGTTGAGCTAGGGCTGGGTCTGGAGCTCCCAGACCCCTCAAGCCCATTCACAGACTGGGTCACAAACTCTTTATACGCCAGGCTGGGTCACCAGACCCCTTCATGCAGGTCTATGAGCTAGGTAAATGGCCAAAAGGTCCTTGGAGCCATAGGTTGGAAAGCATGGCCGTGCCGGACGGATGCCCGAGGCAGACACCCACCCGCCTGCTTCACCAAACTCCTCTCTCTCTCTCAAGAACACAAGAATAGCAACAAAACTAAAAAGATACATTGGCTCACATGCACACTGACTACACACACACACACACACACACACACACAGACACACACACACACAAAATTTGCTTACAATGGATGCTGAACTACACCCAACTGGACCTAAAGTGAGGGTCCTGACCAAACTATTCTATTTTCCCAATAGCTCCACATCATATGCTCTTCTTAGATTATAATTTTGGAAAATAGGTTAAGTAAAAAAATTGGGCAATCCTAGAATATTGTCTTAAGAAAAAAATTGCTTGCTGTTATGTTTTGGCAGCCTTTACATCTGGAGTGGTCTGTTGTCCACAGTGTAGCAGCAAGAGCTGCTGTATACATGGAGCATCATGATGACTAGTGTTTTGAGGGACAGGGCAGAAACCCTGTTGCTCAGTGAGGTAAATATGTTGACTGCCAAACTTGTTTTCTTGATTCCAACAGCCATGTCTGTGAAAACTGTACCAGCCTCAAACACAAGTTAGAATCCCTTATGAATTATATTAACTTAATGTGCAATTGAAATTAGAGACTGGCTTCTGCTTGACTTAGACACATGTTCCCTTTGGTGGTCTAATCTAATTTTGATGGATGAGTTAAGAAAAGTGCTTTGGTTAGCTCAGGAAGAGCCTCCTGCCTGGGGAGCTTGCCCTTCTCCAGGAGGAAGCTCATTAGAGCAGCATATCACAAAGGATACTGTCTCATCAGCAGGGACTGTCTATTCATTTCACTTGACCTATGATCAGCTGTTTACCATGGATAACACAGGCTACCTTTCTGGGACTTAGTGATCCTACCTTATCTGCCTGAAATAGGTATAGATAATCTTTTGAGTATCCTCCTGAGGTCTATGCCCATGGTTGTATCTCACATCTTGTAGCAGGGACAACTGTGGGTAAAAAAGACCTCTATGTTTTGCAAGCACTGTACTCTGTATCTGAAAGCCCTTCTTGGTCTGTGCTCTCAGTCAACTACTGTTCATCTTCCAAGACTAACACACCTCTGCAAAGCCTTCCTGACCCCTCTTTTCTCCCATCTTCACTCCCGATTTGCTCTCTCCTGTACACCCTCTGCGCACGGCTATGGCAGTTCTTAACTTCCCTGCAGATCTGCATGTGGTCTCCCTGAGGTTACTTATTGCCTGGTATTTGAGATTCCTCCGAACATTTTACAGCAGTCTGTGGTCCCCTGGGGAGGGGAGTAGTTAGCAGTGGAGAAGGATGTAACTCTCTTATTATGGTTTTCAGGGACCAGGGAAGCAGCAAGTCCCTACCTGCCATTTATCAGCCAATGTTTTAAATTATTCATATTGATTTCCAATCCTTACAGATTGCATGCAATCACATGAGTACAGACAGCCTGGCTGCTGGCTCCAGCCCTGCAAAGAAGCCCTGGTTGGTGTGTCTTGATGACAGGTTTGGCTTAGCTCATCAAATCCGCAACAAGCAGTGTCGCCTGTATTCTTTAGGGTAAGTACATTTTTTACAGCAGAAGAAAACACTCCTGCAGGCAGCCGAAGCTTTTTCAACAACACAAAGTTATGAATGGTTGCAGTGTATAGCAGGTGCTATACTTTGCCTCCTACCATCATTTCAGACTGTTCTATTTGTAATTGGGGGTATGTGCAGGTCACTGGGGGCTCCTTGGTTGGAGCCATTTTTCTTCTGTTCTGCTGGTAGTAAGGTGGCAGCTTCAGTTCTCAGTAGGAGGGTGATCTTCTTGGTGAAACCAGTGATTTCCAGCAAGAATTAGAGCACCCTTATTTTAAAGAGAGAGAAGAATATTAATAAATGCAGCTAGAAAAATAAAAAGGAGCAGGTTAGAAATTTTATACCTAAATGTAACGAGTGACTTAAAACAAATAATGGCCATTGTTAGATTTTTGTGTTTTGTACCAATGATAAATCTATGTGTTTTATATTTTTAAAAAAAGAAAAAAGAAGAAAGGAAAGGGAAATGTTATGAAAACCATGTCATTTTGTCAAAATAGTTTGGGAAAAATTGATGGTCAGTTATTCAGGTTGAAAATGACCTAGATGTACAAATGGATTTTGAGAGTTTTTTGTAAAAGGATGTATATAAAGTAAGGAGACTATTATACCATCACTTACATAAACAACCCTGAACTTACAAATGATATATGTCTCAGAGAAAGACAGGAGGGAATTCTTGTTTGGAAGATCGATTCCATAGGCACTTGTAGAAGCTATGTAGGTTCTCAGGCTAGACCACTGAAGTCCTTAACAAACAGTACTGGGGATCCTAACAAGTGTCACGTGCTGGTTCCTCACCTGCAGGTTTCATCACCTGTACTATCTACATTCAGGCTGAGGTGTGAAAACCACCAGCCAGAGTCCTTGGAGGTCAGGGTTAGGGACAGACATCTGGGTGAAGGGGAGACCTACTCAAAGGTACCAATACGGAGAGGATCACCATTGCTGTCAAACTATAACAAACAAGAATTACTAGTCATGGTGGGATTTTTTTGTTTTGGTTTTTGTTTTTTAAACAAAAGTTTCAAATAAGAGTTTAAGGATAATGGAAACATTCTTATATGGGTTAAGTGAGTAGCGCTGGTGTATATGGGTAGAGCTTGGCACAGAATAGGCACTTGATATGTATTTGCCATGTAAACACCTGCTTGAGAGAAGCTGGTTGTGCTGTGGTTTAAGTGCAGGCTGGGGATTCCAAGATGAGTAGCTCAGACGGTTGGTTAATGAAGAGCTCTTTTTCTGCGGGCCCACCAGCTATGCTTCAAGATTGTAGCAAGAATAGGACGTTGTGACAGCACAGTTTATTTTATGACATATGAAAAATGTATGAAAGTAGGTCATAAAAATAATTGCATAGTACCACATGCAAGTTGGAGATCTCAGCTTGGTCTTGCTTTCTTGCTTCAAACTGCCTTTATATTTTATCTAATACTTTACACCCTAGAATAATATCGTTTAAAGCACGTAACTGAGTAAAAGGAAACTTGGAAAGCTGTTTTTGGAGAAAATTTTTAAAGTCCTTTTGCTTTCCTTATACTTCAAAGCTGTTGGATAAGGTAGTTTTGCAGTAAGATTTTAAATTATTATGTGTAGAAAGGTAGTTTCTTATTTTCATTTAAATGTTTACCATTCAAAATCAACTTGGTAAAGAGCAAATAAGTACAGCTGGATTCCTGTGGGAAAAGGAATGAAGGGCCAACATTTGATTCAAAACATGAAAATGCTTAATTGAAAACTAGAAAATTAAAGAAATACTTCTGATGGCTAAAAAAGAATGCTTCAGATTGCAGGTGATTATGTTGATTGCACTGTTCCTTGGAATGCAGGATTCAGACAGGCATCTGCTGCTCAGATGAATCGCTCACCTGGGAGACAAATAGACAGGTAGCTGACAACCTCTCAACCGATGCTGAGGGGAGAAAGAGACCCAGACCTGCGGTGGTGGTCCTGAAATGAGAAGCAGGAGCAGGGAATGTGGGCCCTGGATTCCCAGTACCTGGTAGTGTTGGGACAGTTGTGAGATAGACGGGGAGGGCAGGTGGTGAGTGAGTCGTGTGGCCCCTACATACAGGTGGCATGGACTCCAAGCCCTAGGGCTGTGGCTGCAAACAAGACCATGCCACTGCTGAGCCCAGTAGTTTCCGGGCAAGCCGAAGATGGTGGATGCAGCTGCAACTGGGGGTAACCTTCCTGCAGTGAGAGAACGGAGGAATCTAAGGACATGAGGAGCTGGAAGACAAAGGCCAATGGCCCCTGACCCCGTCTCACCTCCTTTCCTCCACTCCCAGTGACTGAAGCAGGTGTCACCTCCACCTTCTCTCTGATGGCTGAAATGTCTTTACTAGGAATCAAAGCTTTTTGTTTCACAGTTAATTGTAAAAGTCATTTGACTGGGAGAGTGCACTCTGTGTAATGTTCAGTTGAAAATTAAAATCAGATCCTTTTCAGTTTTGAAATGAAGTAGAGTAGACTGATTAAGATAGGGGAAGGCACTGAAAAGAAAGGTATATGTGGCTACTTCAAGAAGTTCATGGAAAAATAGAATTAAAAGGTAATACAAATCTGCCTGCCCTACAAGTCTTCTTGTGTATACAGCAGAGGGCGGATGGGGAGGAGGGTGGTAGAGAAAACGAAAGGGGAAAATCACCTATTTTACTTTTCATGTTAAAGAATGTATTTTAGAGGTAGGAGTGGGTATGGAAGGGAAGACTTGAAAAGGGATACTACGAGTACGTTGGTAAATAATTTTCATCTCTTCTTTGGTTCTCTGGTAAGTAGTGCCATTTGATTTGAAGATATAAATTCTCAGTATAAGCAGAAGATTTCATAAGAGACACGTGGTAAGGTAACAAGAGCCAATATTTTATACAGAAAACCTTGGACTTCCGGTTACCATGAGCGAGAAGAATGAATGAGCTCCAGAGCTAGATGTTTTCATCTTATTACAGTTTAACACAGCAGGAAGGGTGTTAGTATAGTATATTTGAATGAGGGATCAGAAAGTCATGAACCTTAAGATCCCTTTTTAGACATTTTTTCCCTAATAGCCCTCTCCATGAATTTTTAATGTCATAGATATACTTTGTCTCTGTATAATGTCTGCACTTTGTGTGTAAAAAGAAGGAGGTTTTTTTTGCCCCTAAGAATTCATTTCACCCCTTTGGGAATGATATTGTTCCTGTCGAGAATACTTGTTTTAGATAAAATCTTGGCATTTCATGGGGCCGGCCCGGTGGCGCACTGGATAAGTGCGCCGCTTGGGAAGCGCGACGGCGCTCCCGCCCGAGGGTTCAGATCCCACATACAGACCGGTTCCCGCTCACTGGCTGAGCGAGGCGCAGGAGCAACACCGAGGGTTGCGATCCCGTTGCCGGTCCCTGGTCTGGTGCGGGGGCAACACTGAGGGTTGCGATCCGTTGCCGGACACGGAAAAAGACAAAAGACAAAAAAAAAAAAAAAAAATTTTGGCATTTCATGCAATGTTACTTAATAAAAAATAATAATTATAAAATATTTTGATCCACTATTGAGTCATTTACGCTTTGAGAAACCTATTTATCCCCCTCTAGTAGTTGGCAGTTTACGGATAGTCATTTGGGCAGATTCTCTGGTTCCTGCTGGGATGAAGAATGGAATACTGCAGCTGCCGGGGAAAACACTAGTTGTCTTACCTCTTCCAACTCTCTGCCTTCAGTCTTAAGAGCTGAAAACTTTCCCTATATCTGCTCGGAGTTTATTTTATCTTTTATAGCTTTTAAAACAGCTTTATTGAGATATAATTTGTATACCATACAATTCACCCATTTAAAGTGTACAATGTAATGGTTTTTAGTCACTGTCCTTAATTTTAGAACATTTTCATCACCACCAAAAAGAAGCTCTGTACCCAGTAGCAGTCACTCCCAATTTCTCTCCAACCCTCTTCCTGGCTCCCCCCAGACCCCCAGCCTTAGGCAGCCACCACTCTATTTTCTGTCTCTATAGATTCACCTATTTTGGACATTTCATGTAAATAGAAGCATACAATATGTGGCCTTTTGTGACTGTTTTCCTTCATTAGCATAATGTTTTCAAGGTTCACCCACATTGTAGCATGTATCAGTACTCCGTTCCTTTTTAAGGATGAATAATTTATTGTATGGATATATACTACATTTTATTTGTCCACTCATCAGCTGATGGACAGTTGGGTTGTTTCCACTTTTTGGTTATTGTGAATAATGTTGCTATGAACATTGATGTACAAGCTTTTGTGTAGACATATGTTTTCACTTCTCTTAGGTATATACCATTTTACCTTCCACCAGTAATCTATGAAGGTTCCACATTTTTGTCAACACTTAATTATTGTTGGTCTTTTTGGTCATAGCCATCCTAATGGATATGAAGTGGCATCTCGTGGTTTTGATTTATATTTCCCTCCTGGCTAATGATCTTGAGCATCTTTTCATGTGCTGTGCTCTGAGTCTTTGATTCCCGGGGAACATAAAGGCTACTCACCTTAACACTCTCAGGAATATTTTTAAAAGAATCATCAAGGACTTGAAACAGTGCCACAATCATCATTATGGTGACTGATGAGATGGCACCTTGTGGAGATGTTTAGTGTACAACCCACACAGCCACATGCAGGGATGCTGGCTGTTTTTCTCTGGGACATCAGAGAAGGACGGCCAAGACGGCTACTCTGTTTTTTTATTACCTTGGGAAATTTAGCCCTGTAAATCTACCCCTTCCTACTTCTTCAACAATTCTCAGAGATGATGGTCCTTAAATGCTTAAAAGTTTGTTGTGACCTCAAACCCCAGCATTAACGTATGCAAGATAATATTTATCAGCATGAGTTGTATAACTCTATCTTTCCCACATAGGGAGGGAGAGAGGTTGCAGTCTTAATTCCAAGGCTTATACCTTTGAATATACATATTAACTGCTGACTATTTCAGAAATGGGCTGTAGCAGGAACTGCTAATTGT